AATATTTCCAGCAGGAATTAGCAACTGCCCCATCCAAATCAACTGTCACTTTGCGCTCTCAATTTCCCCTACTTTGCAAGTTTTTTGCGTACGCGAACGCCAAAACCTTATAATTTGTAATTATTATCTGCTTGTCGAGCATACTAAATTACAGGTATTGTCTTCCCAGGCGCTCTCTGTCTTATTTAACAAATATCATCGTTGCCCACACTAAAAGGTTTACTGCTAGGGAAAAGGGATATTTCCATATCCCATATACCATATAGTATGTGCACGTATATTTTTAAACCAACCTTCTTGCAGAGAACTTATTTAATTTGCAAAAGCCGGAAAAAACATTTGCTTGTAAATAAATTCAAAACTTAAATGGCTCACTTGGTTTCAAACGTTTTTTCTTTTGTTTTGAAAAATTATAAAAATTAAATTGAACGAAATTAAAAAGCAAAGCCAAATAAAAGTTAAAGAATCAACATTGAACTGCGTCAAAATGAAAATAAGGGAGCGCGAATTTCGATGTGAAGCAAAACTCTCTGGGAAGACAATACCAGTAATTATTGTACCATGGGTTGTCACAATATGTAAAATATTTTTCTTCATGTACATACATACATATCGTTGGCTTAGTTCGCAAACGTGCTAAGTCCACTTTTTATGTAAATTGAGATTTTGATGCAGTAAGATAGCATAACTGAAAATACATCATTACCAAAAATAAAATTACCGTAAAGTCGTTTTTACTTGTTGTTATGCATTGGTACGCAAATGTGCTAAGTCCAAAAAAATCCAAAAAATATATATACACGTCTGTCCGTGTACACGATAACTCGAGATATCTCAACGAAATTTGGTATGTAGGTTGCCCTTTATCCAAGGTAAGTTGGTATTAAAAATGGGCGAATCTGAATGTAACCACGCCCATTTCCGATATAAAGGTATTTTCTAACGATGCAAAAACTACGATATTTCAGTAAATATTGGATGCAAATTGTTCAAAATTAGTATGTGAAGTAGATTTTTTGTAAAAAATATTATTGTGCAATTTTTGGAAAATGGGCGTGACCCCGCCCACCTATTATGAAATGCTGCATCTCAGTAGCCCATTCACCAATCTCGGTACGAGCCTTATTTAGGGTCTAGCAAAGAAATCTGTTGAAAATCTAATTCACTTAAAATCGATGATCGCGATAACTACTCAGCAGAAAATTAGATTATGACACATTTTTGGATAATGGGCATGGCGCCGCCCACTTATGACCACAAATTTGTAACTCGGTAACCGATTTATCAATTTCTACCAAACTCTGTGCACTTAATAAACCTGGTACGGAAAAGCAATTCGTTGAAAATTATTCAAATCGGACCAAAATTACATTCGCTTCCCGTATATCTAACGATAAATTTCAGATCTCTTAATCTCTTAACAATAAATAAGACTGCGTGACACCGCCCAATTTATGACTACAAGGTGTATTTAGGTAGCCACTTTAGCGATTTCTACTAAACGTGGTTCAATTATTTCATTGAGTTTAACTCAGGATATTATCGAAAACGTTTGAAATCGGGAAAAAGACCCTGCTTACGACAGTATTTGATACCTGCGCCGGGTTTCGCCCACACTTTACCTCTTTACTTGCTTTTAATTATTTTCTTTTATAAATGGTACATAAATTTACGACTTAAAATAGTTATTTTTGTTAATAGCAATGAAATAAAACTGTATTACGTTATAATTCATTTTAAAACAATAAAATATATTTAAAGTAAACAATTAAATCTTTTAACAATAAAAAATAATGGAAAAAGGTTGATAGAAAATGTGCTAAGTCCACATTAAAAGAATAAAATCTTAAAGAGAAAATGTAGTAAGTCCTAAAAGGGCCTATAAGCTTTATTTTGAAATTGGCCAATTATTGGTACTAAAACAAGACGAACTAAGGAATAAAACTGCATTTACAGATTAGAAAAATATTGACAACAAAAAAAGTTAGACGGATTTTTGTCCCTCCTGAAAAATAAAAAAAATGGACTTAGCACGTTTGCGAACTAAGCCAACGATATGTATGTGTATGAATGTGAGTTACATGATTTTTCGGTTATTGACAATAATAAAAAGCAAAGGTATGAAAAAAATATAATTTTTTTTAGGTTTTTTTTAACTTGATACTTTGATACTTAAATAAAAAAAAAGTGATACATTTGATCCATTTTTTGGGTTTTCTCCGATACATATTTTCATGACGTCTCAGCAACACTAGTTGTGATAAGTATATGGGGAAAGAGTTTCTCATTTTAACAATTTTGTTGGTAAACATTGCGATACATTTTTCAAGAGCGTATTAATTCGAAATTTCCCGTTTGTCAGAAAACCCGAGGAACTACAAGTTTTTTAGAAATTCTGTTTCTGAATATTTTTAGCGTACTCTATAAACAAAGACAAATACTGAATTCATACACTTTTGAAGAATTGGTGCGATATGTAGACTCGAAGACATATGTATATGTAATACTTCTATATTGCTAGTACATTCAAATTAAATTCCTTAACATCAGAGTGCCGACATATTGAAAAAGAAAGAGAGATCCGATAAGAGAATCTACTCAAAATGACAATTTCACTTTTAAAAAATTCAGGAGCGGTTTAACAAATTCTTATTGAAAAACAATTCATATGAAAAATTAACAAAAAGTAAAATGTTTGTAAGTCTATGAGAAACGCTGCGGCTGCTGGTGGTGGCAGAGGTTAAAAATACCAGTTGGAGAAGGACTTGGCATCAGTTGGCATTTCTAATTTATTATATTATATAAAATACAACACCGCTTTATGTGTAAATAAGTTCTGTCTTGGTTAGGAAAATATCTTCTATTTTCCAATTTTCCAGATTTCCAAAGAATGAAGAGCATCGGAGAAAATCGACATATCGAGCCCTAACCGCTAAAATAATGTATAAGCTTTTTAAAACTTACTTTTTGATGAATCTGCTCGAGGAGCATTTATGCATCAAAATTAAAATTTTAAAAAAGTTCGCTTACTTTATTTTCGCGGCTAGGACTCGATATGCATTGCGGCTTGAAGGAATCATGAGATGGTCAAATTTGTGTTTGTAGAATTTCCTGAACCGCCCCTGTTATGATATGGCACTTCATTCTATGTAGTAGTTTACAAATATACCCCTACAAGAGAGCTGAGTATCATATGAGTGCTCATATTATCATTATCGCTAATTACAAAAGTGCTTATCAAAGTCCTCATTTTCGATCAGCCCATGGGCAAAAATTTAGTGCTGTCCCCTCAATGTTGTCATCAGAAAGTCCTCAGTACTAATAGTCAAACTACTCATTAATGCCATGCTACAAAAACAAAAGTGTAAATGTGTTAGAATTTTTGCCTAAACCCAGCAAACAAAGTTTCAAACGTTTGAGAAAAATGTATTTCTCAAATGATTCTCAAATTGAAAACGAGGTTTAAATTTTACATTTGAAATTCATTTGAGGTTGATTTAAAGAAAGATGGCAAGTGTCAAACGATATAAAAATCCGCAGTTAAATCAAAAGTTGTAAGAATAAAATTAAGATCAATTGAACAAAAAAAACAATGAATAGAAAAAAATTTTCGAAGAGAAAGCCCACAAATAGTGGATTTGATGTTTGCGCGGAATGAATTCCCTTCAAGACGAATTTATTATAAATTACTTTATCTTAATTGTTTCTTTTGTTATGTACATATATGTATGAGTAGTCCACTTGCAAACAGCGTTATGTGATTTTATAATAGTAAGCCATAAATTAAAAAAAAAACGTCTACAGCAACAAGTAACATCCAAATTGTATATTTCTTTTTATTATCTGAAAATTGTGATAAATAAGAGCCTAATAACATTAAAAAACAAAATCGCAGTGTGGTAGTTTTTGCAAATTTTATATATAAAAATTTAATTTAGCGAGTTTTGAAACAGTAACTTTTATATAGCCAGCTTTTGGCGTTCTCTCTTCCATGAAGGTTGGTCTGCTTCTTTTTTAGGACTTCTTCCACTAGGCACCGAAACTACCACGTTTTCTTGCAGTGTTCTAAGTTCATCAGAATATGGAGACTTTTGAGCTTATATAAATACGTACAATAAATATTATAGCGACTTTTGAAAGTGTATATACATTCAGTAAGTATTATAGCGACTTTTGCTAGAGTAGCTAACAATGCACAGTATTGTTAGTGGACATGAAACTACTTTAAATACTGGTACGTTTACCACCAAAAACTAAGAATCTAAAAAAATTTACATAGCGCACTTTGCAAGTAGACTACTCATATATGTACATCGCGAAGAAAAAATAAGTATGAAATATACATTTCCTAAAGTAAATTTTATTTCCACATTTGAAGTACAATTGATAAATAACCTTTGAAATTGATTTGAGAGTTAACCATATTCTCAAATGGAGATCAAACTCCCCTTTTTATTGAGAAAACTGTAATTTTCAAATCAATATCAAATAATTTTTAAACGTTTGACATTTGAGAAAGGCTTTAATTTCAAATCATTCTCAAATGTATACCAAACCTAATTGTTTGCTGGGAAGTACTCAGCAATGTCTTTTAGGGTGCATGTATACTCAAGGCGAATTTATACAAGGTGGTATTACTGGCGAATATAGATTTTCGGCGCGGTACTTATTAATGTCAAATGATGTGTTTGTTGTAAACAAGACGAATTCATATTACAACAAACACACTATTTTGACATTATGAAGTACCGCGGCGAAAATCTAAATTCGCCAATAACACCACCTTGTATAAATTCGCCTTGTGTATACTCAAGAATGCATGAAGTATTAAATTGTAAATTTAATTTCCAGCAGAAGATCTAAAAGTGTTTTCAATGTAGTTAGCGTGAATAACAATGCAAATATACTTTTAAGGCGCAGCGAAGCACGCCGGGTATTGCTAGTATTTGCGTATGATTGTTCCCAAACAAGTTTAACTTCAATTCTATTTGCTTTTGTAGTAAACGCGCGTTTGAAGGTCTTCTACAACTACTTACACTCAATCTGTCTTCCAATGCAATCAAAAATATACAAAACGACGCCTTTGTTGGTTTACCATCTCTGAGGAAATTGGATCTATCTTTTAACCAGTTGTCGAAATTAGATAATAAAACAAATGGCGTACTTGACGATTTACTCAGCTTAGAAGAGGTATGAACCATACATCGATGGCTGAGCGGAAGATCGACCTATCTCGGCAACCAGTTCAAAAACGCCCTATCTCTTAAAACTTTTCAAGAACGCCTTACTTCAGAATTTGGTTGAATAACGCCCTATCTCAGAATTCGGTTCAAAAACGTCCTATCTCAAACGAAAGTACATTGAAAATAAGCTGAAATAGGGCGTTTTTGAATCGGCGTTCTTCAACCAAATTGTAAGATAGGGCGTTTTTCATTCAAATTCTGAAGTAGGGCGTTCTTGAAAAGTTTTCTTAGATAGAGCGTTGTTGAAAAATTGTCTGAGATAGGGCTTTATCAAACTGGCTGCCGAGATAGGTCGATCTTCCACTCAGTCATCGATATAAATATTCTTTTTATATGTATTTGAGTTTAATACATAGACACATATGTATGCACATAAAATATTTGTTTTAATTTCAGTTGAATTTAAGTCACAATAAAATCAGTTTTGTTACAAAGAAGACCTTTCCTTCGAATCGGTATATACCGTATAATTTAAAATATTTGGACTTAAGTTATAATCAAATGCCAGTTCTAACGTATGACATTACCTTTGGCACGAAAAAGCTACTTACCTTAAATTTGTCCAACAATCATATAAATGAAATTCGAAGAGGCGTTTTAGCGAATTTTACTCTACTTCAATCACTTGATCTATCCAATAATGAGCTAAGTAATCTGGCCTCGGAAGACCATGTGTTTGATCTCCCTACAAATCTGACGAAAATTAATTTGAGCAACAACCAGATATACAAAATACCGTTCTTCAACTTCCAAAAAGATGTAAAGCTGGAAAATATTGATATGCGAAACAACAAACTTAATGAGTTTCCACAAATATTAGTACAAATGGTCCGCAATGGTTCTAATATATATTTTGCGGGAAATCCTTTAGACTGTAGTTGTGCTGCACGGCCATTAAAGCATTTTATGATGGAAAAGTCAAGTTTAGACGAAGACTTAGAGAATATAGAATGTGGAACACCTAGTTTTCATCAAAACCTACGATTAATAGAAGTGCTCGATGAAAATCTGCAATGCGTATTGGACGAAAGAGACCGCTATAAAGGCGTGGCTTATGAAGAACTTACCGATGTACAGTTTCGAGACATTAAAACGTAAGTACCAGCTGATGAGCTAGAACTTGCGCAAGATTATTTATGCAGTGTGATTTTGTACCATATTAACATGACTTTTCATCAAAAATCTTTTTCGATAATTTTTAATAAAACATACATACATACATCAAAAGTTCTAGCTTCGTACAGAGGCGAATTATTATAAGTGTTGGCAGGAGAACAAAGAAAAATACGGGTATTTTGTTTTTGTTTTTGCGGCGTAAACTGCCATACATACTGTGTGTGGAAATGTGAGCAAAATACTACATAAATTTGACATTCTAAAGGCTCTGTTATGCACACTTGGCATTGCTTGAGATTTGTCACATAAGGAATCTGTTAAATGAGCTTCGCGTGTACGCACAGCATTACATACATAGAAGTCTGTTGGTATTTGATTTCTACGTAAAAATGGTATAGCAGTGCATGCACTGCCAAGTATGCATAACACAGCCATTTTTACGTAGAAATCAAAAACCAACAGACTTCTACGTATGTAGTGCTGTGCGTTCGATAACCGATTACACGCGAGGCTCATTTAATAGATTTATTATGTGACAGCTCTCAAGCCATGCCAAGTATGCATAACGGAGCCTTTAAGCCGAATACTTAAGGCGAATACAAAAAAAAAAAAAAAACAACAAATCCGCTGTTCTTATAATGACACCTTATATGAATTCGCCTTGAAATTCGCAAACATTTTTCAAATTTAAAAACCTTGTCATCGAAATTTTAAACTTTTGAATCAGAGCTTTTAGAAAAAGTCTGGGTATCTATTTTTGTAGCCAATTGAATTTTAGTATAATAAAGTTAAAGTGCCCGTTTTAAGTGGCTAAGAATTAACGTTGATTTTTGATAATTTTGAATTGAATTTTGAACATTTGAACATAGCCTGTTTTAAGTTACAGAATGAGTTCATTTATTTAAGCGATTCCAAACGGTGTCGCAAGTTCCGCATTGTTGTATGTTGTAAACTTTAAAAGCTTAAATAAATGTTTAGAGAACTTGAAACCACAACCAACTACTTTTTAACACTCCGAAAATTCATAACATGACTTTGATGGTACTTTGCCAACCCCTATATATATTTTTTTAGCGTTTAAAGTTTACTACACTTACGACAGTGTTGTGAATACCCCAATAGTTTTATTGAAAATTAACAAAAAGGTTTATCATGAAAACCATTATGAATATTTCAAAATAATTTTCTGAACGTTTTTCCCTGGCATCAAATGCACATATGTATATACACATATACATTAGACCACGTAAAAAAATAAAAATCCTGCAATGCGACCGCAATCTGGCTCAGATTTTAGTATTTGGTATAGTAATAATCCAAAGTGAATCTCGCCTCTCTACGATAATTCTAAGAGGTTGCGCATCGACTGTTTATTTTTCCCCTAGGAATAACGATTAAAAAATGCTCGAAACTATAAGAATATATTGGTTACATGTTATTTAAGCAATATGCAGGCTCAGATTCTTTAAATTTCGAAATTATCCTTTCAGCCTCTTTGGGTCGAATCTAGTAATTACAAAAAAAAGTAATAATGGAATTTAAGGAGCCCGTATTACACTTTAATGGCGTATAATCAATATATTCTTACAGTTTCGGCCATTTTGATTGATACTAGAAAATTATATTGAACTCAAAAAAGATTAACCAATTTTCTTTCGTGTTATTCCTATGGGAAAATAAACAATCCATGCGCGACCGCTTAGAATTATCGTAGAGGGGAGATTCATGAGTGATCATTACTATATCAAATACTAAAATCTGAGTCAGATTGCGGTCGCATTCCAGGATTTTTTTTTTTGTATGGTCTAATGCATATAATAAAAATAAATACTTTTCTTCTTAGCAATCGCAATGGGAATCTTACAGTGCGCTTTTTTGTTACGGCTGCCAGAGATATAGCCGACTTTTTGGTTTATATACGAAACCGCGAAAATGATGTATTGTACCAAGGAGAAGCAGGTTACAATGAGCGTACGCATGAAATACCAATCAAAAACATTAAAAAGGTGAATGGGGAAAATTCCGAAATATGTATAATCTCTAAGGACAGCAATGGCATCACGGGTCGTTGGTATAGCGCACAATGCACACATCTGCCCGATTTAAAGCCAAAACGTAAAGGCATTTTCGGATTTACTTCGTCGAGTTCGGCCGATGCTCAAAGCGTAGCTGTGTGTCCTATCATAATTTCTGTGGTCATGCTTATTCTTTTAGTTGACGTCCAATTTTTATGAAAATTTATATATGTATGTAAATACTGCCACAGTAACAATTTGAGCACTGCCTAGTAATATTCATGTACTTTTTGTATTTTTTTATTAGTCACCTAATTGTGATATTGTTTTTTATTGTAACATAAATTTGACAATTCTAATTAAAATTGATATCGTTTTTATAAATGATGTGTTATATAATCAGTAACGTGGCTTCTTAAAATTATGTAATGCTGCTTCTTTACTGGAAGTCCTACTTTTATGTGATGTAAAAAAATCATAAGGATATCTGTATGTTGTATATCATAAGAACGCAGTTCTCCTTCCTAGATCAAAGTAAGTAAACAAGGTAAGATTTACCCTCTTGATTAATGCGGAAAACCTGACTAAAACCAACTTTATATTTTTATTTCTATTTCTATATATCATATATGTATATATAGTAGTATTGTTCTTATTTTTCAAACTTGATTTATGCCTGTTGTAAAAAATTTGCGCACTATCAGATAAAAATAAGGGATGCCGTCGGCTCCTAAAATTAATCCGTTTATCATAAGTTTAATAAGTCTGGAAACTATCGATTTAGCCGTTCTTGAGGACACATATTTTATTATACACTAGCCAATACTCGCTTGCTTCGTGGCGCCTAAAAAGAAACTTTGCGTTGGCCTATGCAAAAGAGCGTTTAAAAGCAAACGCAGTCTGTAAAGTCAAAATATTTAGTTTAAATTGAAACCACTAAAGCGCGGTATCCTTACGGTGACCATAAATATGGATTCAAAATGAAGGACAATTTTTCAAAAATATGCCTACATATATTTACGTAGTATAAAAATATCAAACGAGTATTTTTGATTCTAAATTCTTAATACATTTTAAACTTTAAAAATGAATCACGTTTTCTTCATTGATATTAATCTTTTTTTACATGAATATTTATAAAAGTATAGTAAAACATATTATAATTACAATAGCTTACACGAAAAGTGAAAATCTTTAAAAGATTATTTTATAGGCAAATTTTGAGTCGTCCAAAACGAAAACAATACCTTTTTTTTGTTTCTTGTACTTTTCGCAGTTATTTGTCAAAAATCGACGTCATGAATCGACGTAAACGATGAGTTACAAAGGTATTTATGTGCCCTTTTTCATTACCTTTGGCTCAAAATTTACTGTAATGATATATCTTATTTATCGAATTTTTAAACTAATGAAAAAAATAATCAAATAAAACTGCGTATTTGATTGAAAATCTCACTTTTTTCGACTTTGACGACAAAATGCAAATGGTCGCCTGTAGCACTAATAATTTTCATTGAAGTCGCCACAAGTTATATATTTTGGTAAGAGGCACATCAATACCAAGAAACACTCCTTTGAAAAAATCCATCCATTGTCCGATAATTTTAAAATAACGGATAAAATGCGGGACACTTGGAAAAATGCAGTACATTTTCAGGTTTTTCAGGTTTGAAAACTACGCAGGACCGACCTTTGAAAAACAGTACGGTCCTGCAAAAAACAGAACGGATGGTCACCGTAGGTATCCTCCTCACACGTAGGCCAAGAATAGTAACGCTGTGATATCATATGGAATACTAATCCCTTTCGTCGTCGTGAGCTTTACCGATGGTCTTATTTCCAAATGTGAGATCTCTGGCAAGCATGCGTACTATTTTTCTGTGATCTTGCAACTAACGTATGCGGAATGAAATGTGGACAATTTCTAAGCAGACTTTAAAAAATTCTGGTAAACACAGGAGCCAAACTATGTAAGTATACCCAAATCTACTGTGCAATCTTAACAAGCATTCCACTAAATTAGACTCGTTTTATATTGTAATGCTGAAATAATTTCCTTGAAAGTGAACGAACTCTGAAAATATGTTTGTAAATTTTGTATACCGAAACTCTATGTCACGAAAAGTAACGTACTTTTTAATTTTTTCTCTATTAAACCTAAAAAAAATTATTTACAAAGGAAATGTCGGCTTTATTAAATAGGAAAACAGTAGAACGAAAACCCACGAGTACCAAAAAACATGATTAACATTGCACCGAAATGTAATAAGAATCATAAATTGCTTGATCTCTCTGCAAAATCACGACGTATAATGACAATAAAGTACAAAGTAAAAACACTAGAGACAGTGTTGCCAACTCTTGATTTTCAAAAAGCACCAAAAACTTGGGGAAAAAGCGTTTTATCACACTAAAAGCACCAAATTTGTTTGAATCAAAATATGCTTTTTTCATAACAGTTTGTATTTAACAAAAGCAAAAAGTTAACAGTATTTACAAGAATACATACATAAATCAATACACAAAATTTTTATCTCATTACAGATGCTATGATGACTCATACTTACGACGTAATATCGCATTAAAACTGGTATATCTCGAGAAAGAAAAATCGAATCGTAACAAATGAAAATGATGCCATAAGTAGAAATGAGCAAAAAATTTGATGTTTTCATTATATAAGCTCAAATATCGCCAAAAACCGTGTTATTGGCACTTTGAGGTTAGGATATCTCAAAATTCTAGTGCTAAGCAATTGTGCGGCCAGATTTGGATTCAGCACCAAGAAACGATGTTTTTTATTCAGGTGGTAAAAAATCAAAATTTGTATAAATAATTAGAAAAGAAATAAAGAAATACTTAACTTACGCGAATAGAATTCAACAAGATGGGTTTGTAACTTCAGCTTTTTATTAATCATGGTTATATTTTAGTGCATTTAAATTTGTAGATACTTGTAAATTCAGTGCTGCCACAGCTTTAAATATTTCAGGTTTTACCTATCTCGGAGGAATTTTAGTTCAGAAAAAAAGCACTAAAAAAGGCACTAGGCACTAAATATATTTTTTTGGCGTTTTAATTTTCAAAAAGCATTAAATCTAGTGCTTAAAGCACCAAGTTGGCAAATATGTGTAAACGCCTAAAAATATATTAGGGTGGTTCGCAAAGTACCATCAAAGTCATATTATGAATTTCTGCAGTGTTAAAAATAGTTGGATGTCGTTTCAAGTTCTCTAAACATTTATTTAAGCTTTTAAAGCTTACGACATACTTGTAAACTTAATAAAGTCTAAGAAAAAACACTTATTGTACTTATTTCCCAAAGTTTATACTGCTGGAAAATACAAATAAGGATTAAAATTTTAAAACTAATTCATAAAATTATAGTAAAACCGGCGGGAAAATTATCCATAAAATACTTTCTTCGCAAAACCTATAAAGGACGCTTCTATTAAAAAAAAAATGTGTGGTTATATTTTTACTCAGTTTACAACAATAAAATACACTACAAAATAATAATTTATAACCAGATAACCTGATAACTAGGGAAGTGTGAACGCCCACTGTGTAAGAGTTATTCTGCGCTACGCTGCAAATTTTAATTGTAATTTTTCTATTAATTTTTTCTTAAATTTGTCTACTTAAGAGGAAATTCACCTTTGTTTAACAAAATTTTGGTACCAATAAACATACCGGTATCCAAAAAGTCATAGTAACTAAAAAGTGAAAAATTAAATTATGCGTGCAACGAAAACTGAATATTTTAAAGGCTGTATAACTTGTTGAAATATTTTTGTTTTAATTGCATTTCTTTCTCAGTCGTATTTTGAAGAAAACAAATTCAGGAAATATAAAAAAAGATAACCGAAGTGGACGCACATATTGTTTTGGAGCTGATAAAGTTTTAACCTTTTTGATGACTACCAAATTTTATTTATGTTTTTATTTTTGTAGACGAAATCTTTCCTATATCGCCAAATACAGAGCACTTACCATACTTTTTCTCTCAATTTACCTATACACTAATAGAATCCACAAAAAAAATCCGCGCTTAGCTGCGGCACCCATACATTTAGTTTCGGCTTTGTGCCATCTTCAGTGTAATTTTTCGTTCACGGAAAATCGCCCCACAATATAACATGACGGAAAATCGTTCTACAATATATCATACTCCTACTCTGTAGGAAACTTCAACAACAAAAATGATAATCTAATCATAGAATTAACTTTGATTAATTGAAGTCATACGAGCGAAGCCTAAAGGTACGTTCACACAGAAAGCGGAGCCGAGCCGAGCGAAGCCGTTCGAAATTTTTTGACCGCTTAAAACTTGGACCTGTTTAACTAGAATTTCATTACCGATGTTCCTGCATACCCATAATTTTCCTAAAAATTCCGATTAAGAAGTTCACAGTTATATTCAAAAATGTATTGAACTTGATTCGCTTTTTCTATTGAACACATTTTGAGGAAAACAACCATTTAGATATGGTACATGATTCAATAATAGAAAGGTTTTGTAATAAAACAGTCTTCTCGCTCCCACACATAAAATCGGCTCCTTTACTTGTGCAGAATGTTGCTCACTCTACTTCTAGTTATATTAGTAGTAAAACCAAAATTTCTTCATTCTAAAAGCTCAGTTAGTCTAGACTTAACTTAATTTAACTTACCGTAAG